GGGTTCGGGTTCGGGTTCGGGTTCGGGTTCGGGTTAGGGTTAGGGTTAGGGTCAGAGCTAGGGTTAGGGTTAGGCTTTGCAGGAAACAGTTTGGACTCTGCGAATATGAGATGAAAAGAAAATAGAAAAAAGGAACCCCAGTGTCCCATCAGCGAAGTCAAATGGGCACCACCTTGACAACCACCTTTTCCTTCTGCACCTCTTTATAGTTTTCGACGCACTCGAATGCAAATAATGCTCAAGACTTGTTTCGCACACGGAGCCTTGCAAAGGCGCCAAACTGGGAACTTTTTTTTTTGTATTTTAGTTGCGCGGTACCAAGGTTCATAGGAGAAAAGCAAAGCTGTTTAAACATCTGCGGCCATACCGCGATGAACATTCCGCGTCTCGTCCGATCCGCGCAGACAAGCATCGCAGGGGCCAGAGAGTATTGACGTGGGTGACCAGTCGAGAACACTGTGCTGCCGCAGGTTTTTTTTTCTGCTTTTTCTTTGGTTTGCTTACGTTTCTTTTTGCCCCTGGTCCGACGCACATTCAGTTCACCTACAAATTGTATTATGCTATGCTGCAGAGTCTGCAGGCTTTCACAGTCTCGACAAGTCTTCTCCCCCAAGGTTTTCCGCTCCGCTGTAAACCTGTTTCGTATCCTTGGACATCCCGATCTCGTGCATCCGACTCGATGCCGCACATCAGTGGATCATGCTTCTCTGTTGCCGATAGGGTGTACTGTACATCAAATTCGCCCATAGCGTGCTGCTGAACCGCTCGCATGGTGTCGCGATATCGCGCAACCTGGAACATCTTTACGCTAGATCTTCCCGTAGGACCGGCAAGATATGCTCGCAAGCCATCTCAGAAGAAGTGGTTCACAGAAGCAAACACGGTGCTCATGCGACCAGCATTATGCCATTGGCGTCATGCAGCGGGGTGCCAGTTGCTCAGCGGAGACAATTGAGTCGCCACACTGGCGCTCGACTGAGCCCGAATACACGTATGCTTCACGTCATCACCTGTGTCTGTCCTGTTTTCACCAAAATTGACGGATCACGGCGCATGATACTGCGAAGCAGGCTGGCGGCGAGCTCGTTTTGTGTCTGGTGCCGACAAAATGTGGCGCTCTTACTGCTCTTCAACAGATCATACTTCGGTCAGACATGTAGCGTAGTCTTTGCATCATCAAAGAGCTGGCACACGTTGTGAGTACCGCTCATGTGTCCAATGCTTGTTTGGGTCCGATCGCCAGAATAGTGAGCGATCGCCGGTTCTACCAGACGCTCACCATGAGCAAAGGTATATCCATACACCGCAAGCCAATTGAATTTATTTTCCGAGCTGAAACATGGAAACATGTATTGACGCGTCGGTAAGAGTGCGTAATGGCCTCAAAATCGCAAAATCGGTGAAACCAGCTTGCGAACGATTTCCACTTGCCGTTTGTACATGAAAGAAGACTATGACAGACACGGCACTAACAACCGTGCACCAAACCAACACTCGTGATGCTATGCCGGAATCCACACACTGCTGGAGTCTCATCTGTGTCGGCCACCTTATG